CGGGAGTGAGGGGCACCGGCAGGGCTGTGAGCCCAGGGCTGGCATAGCGGGGGCTGCGGGTCGGGAGTGAGGGGCACCGGCAGGGCTGTGAGCCCAGGGCTGGCATAGCGGGGGTGCGGGTCGGGAGTGAGGGGCACCGAGCAGATTAGCCTGGGAGGTGCTAGTCTAAGAGGCTCCCTCCTTTACCCAGCTCGTCCCACAGCTGCCGGCACTTGTCCGTCATGCCGGCTCCCTGCTGCCTCCACAGGGCCAGGCGCGGGTCCTCCAGGAACTGCTCCGTCATCAGGATCAGCATGCGGGCGCCGTTGGAGTCCCGCATCCGCAGCATCTCGCGCACCTGGGGGGGGGGGAGAGATTCAGGGGGGCTTGCAACCGCTGCGGCCCGAGGCAGATGGAGCCAGAGCCCAGGGGGGTGGGGAGAGCCCAGGAGCCCCCCTTCTCCCCCCCAGCCCAGGGTTGCTCCCCCCTTAGCTACAGCAGAGACCCCCCACTGCAGGGCAAAGGGGGCAGGCAGTGACATGCCCCCTCCACGGGCAGTGGGGCCTGAGCCAGCTCCAGCCAAGAGGCTGGGGGAGAGTGATCAGCAGGGACCCCTGTTCTGGGGGAAGCCATGGGGGGGACAGGACCCAACCTGGGGGGCAGAAGGGAGGGACACAGCCAGGCCGGGGGGCGGGGGGCAGGAGTGACCTTGTTGAACATGGACTGCAGCTGCTTGCTGGCTCCGTAGTAGCCGCCGTTGGACAGGAGCTGCCTGACCTGCTCCTGGATCTGCTCCTCGTCCAGGTGCCAGCAATTGGCGTCCTCGATGCCGGCGCCAGCCGTGGGGTCTGGGGCACCTGGGGGGGAACAAAGTCAGCAGGCTAGAACCCCTGCTCCCCGGGACTCCACCTCCCCTCTTGGGCCCAGGGACAGAGGCCCCTGCTCTGCGGCCAATCAGGGGCAGGGCCTGGGCTCTAGAGCAACTTAGGGCCCCGCCCAGCAGCCAATGGGGGGAGGCAGATCCCAGATTCTACAGCAACCCAGGAGTCCCCCCACTCCATAGCCGAATGGGAGGCGGATCCCAGGGCCGAGAGCGACCCAGGGGTCTCCCACTCCATAGCCAATGGGAGGCGGATCCCAGGGCCGAGAGCGACCCAGGGGTCTCCCACTCCATAGCCAATGGGAGGCGGCCCCCCCCGTACCGTGCACCCGGTTGATCTCGGAGCCCAGCAGGAGGATCTCGTCGGCCAGCCGCTGGGCGGTGGGCAGCACCTCGGTGTGGTGGGCGCTGATCAGGTACTGGACGAACTTCTGCAGCTGGTCACGGTTCATCTGGGAGAGGGTCTCGGAGATGGGCAGGCGCAGCTCCACCTGCCGGGCGTTGCGAATGCGGTAGAGCGACAGCGCCACCACGTGGGCGCAGTAGAAGATGTCCCGGTTGTCGCAGGCGCAGCTCACCGACGTGATCTTGCAGCGGTCAAAGCTGATGGAGACGTGGAAGCTCCGCTCCGGCTCGCTGGGGCCGGCCGGCTCTGTCACGGTCCCACTCAGGTGGAAGCCTGGGGGCAGGAGGGGACAGGGTTGCTGTGGGAAGGGGGAGGTGGTCCCCTGCTCCAGCCACTAGACCCCACTCCCCACCCAGAGCTGGGGGCAGAACCCAGGAGTTATGGGTCCCAGACCCCCTGCTCTAACCACTAGACACCTCCTGCCCATTGTCTATGGAGACTGGGAGCTCTCTGGGGGAGGGACCATCTCTCCCCGTGTGTCTAGCAGCACCTGGCGCAGTGGGGCCCCCGATCTCAGTCGGAGCCTGCACAGGGCCTGGCCTAACAGGGACCCCCCGATCCTGGGCGGTGGAGCTGCCGTGGGGAATCTGCGCAGTGCTTGGCCCAACGAAGGCCCCGGTCTCAGCTGAGGTCTCCAGGTGCTGCCCGGGAGTCGGCCCCCGGCTTCCCCCTCAGCTTCAATGTCCCAGAATCACCAGGTCGGTCGGGAAGACGCCTCATGAGGTCACCACCTCCAGCCCCCCTGCGCCCAGGCAGGGCCAAGGAAACCTCGACTGGCTCTGAAACACTCCAGTGATGGGGATCCCGCAGCCCCCCTTGGACGCCTGGCCCTGAGAGTTAGACGGTTCCCCTAATACCCAGCCAAAATCTCCCCTGCTGCAGATGAAGCCCAGGGCTTCTTGTCCTGCCTCCAGCGGCCCCGGAGAACAATCCATCCCTGTCCCCTGGTTAACCGAGTTTCCAGCCTGCAGGAGGCCAAGAGCTCCAGGGCACATGCCGAATCCACGCCGGCAATTCCTCCATGCCCTATTTTCTCCCCTTTCCTCGCAGGCCAAGGCTCTCCTCCGGACTCTCCCCGACTTCCCTCCAGCGTGGCCCCCCAACACCGACCTCCGGGCCTGACACACCCCACGCCTGTGACCTCGCCCCACTTTGTGCAACCGCATCCCATTGCTGGCCCATATTCAATTTGTGATCCACCATCACCCCACCCAGTGGGCCCTGCCGATCAGCGTCTCCCCCTCTGCGCCTACCGCCTGCCAGGGATCAGCTGTTTTGTGGCGTCAGGAGGCGCTGGGGGTGTGTGTGTGAGGGCGCAGATCACTTGGGGGAGGGGGCGGAACTTGGTGGGGAAGAGGTGGGGTGGGGCCTTTGGGGGAAGGGGTTGACTGGGGGTGGGGCCTGGGCAGAGCTGGGGGAGGTGGGGGGGAAGGACCCCCTGACAGATTAGAAACTCTGCACCTCTGTCCCGGGCCCCGCATCCCCTAGGGACGGCCCTGTCCCCGTCCTGTAGCTCTGCCTTTTGCTTTTTCCTTCCTTAGCGCGGGATTTTCCTCTTCTCTTTACCGAACTGCATCTTGCTGATTTCAGACCCATTCTCTGATCTGTCAGAGTCGCCCTGAATTCGAATCCTGCCTCCAAAGCGCGGCCAGCCCCTCGCCGCCTAGTGCCATCTGCCGATTTTAATCAGCGGCCCCTCCATCATCCGCGTCATTAACGAAAACGGCAAATTGTGCCGGACCCAGGACTCAGCCCTGTGGGACCCCACCAGATACGTCCTCCCCCCTGGAGGCCAAACCACGGAGAACGATTCTGAGCACAGTCATTCAAGCCGCTGTGCACCCACTTTATCGTAATTCCATCTAGACCACATCCCCCACGTCTGCTCATGAGAACGTCACGTAGGACTGGATCAAAAGCCTGCATAAAATCAAGATACATCACGGCTACTGCCCACCCCACCCCCCAGGCCAGGGAGGACATGAGGTTGGTCTGCCTTTGACAGATGCTGGCTATCCCTATCAACTGTTTGTTTGTTCCAGTATCTTTCCTGCTATCAGGGTCAGGCTGACTGGTCTCTTGTTCCCAGGCCATCTCCTTCCCCTTTTTAAAAGGCACGTTTGCCCGGCTCCGGGCCCTCACCCGGCCTCCGGGAGCTCTCCAACGGTTCACACTGCTTCAGCTGGTCCCATAAGGACCCAGGACGAACGCACCGGGCCCTTTCTCGGGGCTGAGCACCTGGTCGCCATTAACCCTTGTAGCGCTGACCGAAGCAAAACAGGCATTAAACACCTCAGCCCTCGTGGGGTCATCAGCGATCAGCTCTCCGGCCCCGCTGAGTAGTGGCCCGGCTCGTCCCTTCGCCTTTCTCTTGCTCCTGCTGCATTTAAGCAATCTCTGGGGAATGCGGCTTGTGTCCCTCGCCGGGGGCAGCTCGTTTTGGGCCTTAGCCGGTCTCAGCCGGCCCGTGCTGCTCTTTCGTGCTCCTTCTTAGCACTTGTTCCCACGTTTGGCAGGAGCCCTTTCGGAGTTTCAAGTCATTAAAAGCCCTTCCCCTCCCCTCCCCGGGTCACCTGCAGTCCCTCCCCCGGCCGGGAGCAGGTGTTGGCGGGTGAATCCCCGTGAGGCTGGGCTGACGAGTGCTGGCTTGCCCGGAGGAAGGGGCAGGGGAGGTCAGCCCGTGTGGCACACACCCAGCGGGTGAATCACACAGGTGAGACGGGTATTGGGGAGGTGGGAGGGGGTGACACAGACACCCTGATGGAACCAGTTCCCCCTCCCCCCGTGTCATAGCATGCGTGGCAGGTGCTGACGTCTGACCGAGACTGGCCTGGGGCCAGGCGGTGACTCACGGTGACACAGCTGGGGCTGGAACCCGCGGCTGCCGGCGCACGTCACCGCACGCCCCAGGCTGGGATGGAGCCAGTGGCACACACGGGAGGCGCTAGAACTAGAAAGAGGAACAGGCAGTGGGAACGGCGGGTGCCGGGAAGGACGGGGTCAGGGACACAGCAGCCACCCAGGCCACCCTCCCCTGACAGACTGCGGGGAGTAAAACAGACGCCGTTACCGCCCAGGGACTGTGCTTCAGCCCGGCTGGAGTCCCCACAACCCAGAGGGGCCCCGTCCCCCCCCCAGGCCAGAGAGAAATCTAGGCATTTCACCCACCCCCCACGGAGAGAGAGAGAGACACCACCCAAAGTCCAGGGCTGGGGTCCCGCGCGGCTGGCTCCGGAA